GATCTACATCTCAAGTGACTACATCGTGAGACAAACGATAATACACTTTATTATTGCATCTACCACGATGAATAACAACAACCTTTTCCTCGACAAAATTAATGTAAATGTACAAGTTATCTGCTGAGAAAGGCAATTACCCATTCACACCTAAAGAGTTTAAAATCAGAAATGGACAAGTGGACAGCACTTCTGCTGTAAACCATTTTGCTGTTATGTTTGGAAAGTAAAGAAAATGATGCAAACAGTAGTTTTTAAAGTGTAAAATTTTGTGGTCTCTTTTCAACATTTTCAAATATTTTTTAAGCTTATTGTAAAATTAAATCAATATAGGGAATTTTTTTGACAATGAAAAATAATAATTAAAAAACAGCCATGGAAATATTGGTGGAACCATACTTCACCAGGGTTTATCTATGTCTTAAAATTTGCTGAAACTTGAACTTCTCACAAGACATGATTTGACCTATCAGGCAACAAGTGTGTGGTAATCAGTCACACACATGCTGGAATGTTGTTTATAACCAAACTGTGCAAATAAATTCAATTTGTATTTTATTCTGGTCCATAAGTGAATAGCTTTTAAATCCATTTAAGTTCCTTTTCCTTAAATTGAATACTGGTAGCTACTATGTGATTTACCTTGGATTTGGGACAGAGCTTAAGCCTGCATAGCAATCCTTCCTGTATGAACAGTTTCATTTTCTGTTTTTCTCCATTCTGGCCACACACACACCACACACCAATTGTAGTGAGAGAGAGCAGAAAAATTGATGAAGCAAGGGGTGGTGGGGCAAGTGCTCACCCCACCTCCCCTACATGTATTTCGCCAGAAGCGACGGTCATTAATTTATTTGCAATTCTGCGAGTATTTCTTGTGGGTTTAGGCAAATGAAGTAAATTCTTTGGCTATTTCATCGCAGCGAGTTCAGAGATCAGAAGGAAAATTAAATATTTGCAAGCCAAGCAAAGAACGTGCCAGAACGTGCAAGGATTACTGGTAGGGAAATAACCACCGTACTAAAGATAGCCGTGGATAATTAACGTAATTCTTGAATTATGTGACTCGTGTGACTACTTTGCTAGTTCTTTACTCATGGAAAATAAACAATTAAATTTAATGGTATTATCATATCGTTCATATCATTCATGCCCATACATTTTCCGAGGAAAGTTCCAGATTAAGACCATTACATCATCAGAAATTTCACAACGGCTACGACTGATGGTGCAATAATAGAGTTTGTGTTGATCAAGTGATGAGGTGTCTACAGTAATGAATGAATCATCAAGGACTGCTTGGGAATGTGCACTACATTGCGACTGTAGTGCTAAGAAAACAGTTAAATTTTAAAAGCGCGGTTATAAGATCTGAAAGATCTTCTTGTTAACAAAAAAACTGCAGAGGTGTTGGAAGGCGACGATTGTGGAGGTGTGGCATTTGCCCTCTTTCTTTGTCCCCACCCCGGGGCATTTAGACAGCTTATGTGTCCCCACCCCAGGGAATTTGCCCATTTTTTGAAAAACATGTAATGCCTGGGGGTTAGCCCGGGGGGGATGGGCACTGCTGGAATTGACTAACGCATAATGTTTATAAACATTAAGGTGCTGAGACTGTGCAGTACGGACTGGAAATCATCCCAGTCCGTTCAAACAACAACAGAGACCTCCATTGATCGCATTCAACATCGCCTTATTTCATGTTACTAGAGGACAGGAACATGCTAAGAATGTATCGATGAAAGCCACAACTGCGCTGAAATTAACAGTTCGACATCAGCTTGTTGACGAAACATGAGAAATCTGCGAGCACAAGAGTGGTTCGATAAGCAGCTGAAAGGTGAAGCAGATTTCTGAATCGATTTGAAGAATTGCTGACAAAAGATTTAGAATTACTAGTTCTACTACTCACTTGGACACAAATAAGCGATGAAGGTGACACCCTGCAACCAGAAACAGCAGAGAATGATACAACTCGCAAGACCACGGGTACAACCGCACAACAGTGCTTATGACTGCAAATCGTTTTGGCGGTCTTTGACGGTACAGTGACTGCGCATGCTCTTCCGTTTTGGCGGGCGCCGCAATCTCGTTCCCAGAGCCTTCGTTACGCTTGTTCCGCTGGACAAGGGTAACGAAGGCTCAGGGAACGAGATTGCGGGCGCCGTCGCGGGCGCCCGGGGACCATCTACAACAGGGCGGAAAGCACTATTCACTTGTGTGGTATACACTAATAATAATTATAACATAACTAAAGGAAAGCGCGCTCTGATTGGTTAATTTAGCGTCTACTATTTGCCCATGGGTGTACGCT